ACACTCATAGCCCCGATTTTGATCCCCAAGACTTCACCAACTCCCAAAACTCCGCCCACTCAACCGCAAGCCCCGCCCACTTCTCTTTGGACGGCCACAACTTTCCCACTGTGAGCGCCACCACCTCCCCATCAACCACTGCAAAACTCTTGATCCACCGACTAAAGCCCGCCTACTTCACCCAAACGCTTTCAAATAAAGCTCCACCCCCTTTTCCTCCCAGCTCTACAGAATGAGCGAGAAACTAAGCGAAAAATTCGAAAAAGTGAAAAATAACCCCACTTTCAGCGCTTTTAAACAGGTGAAACTCTTCCAAACAAGCTCCGCCCGATTTCTACCCCACACCACGATCAAAATTAAGGAAAATAAGCGAAAATAAGAAAAAGAAGGAAAAATAAGCAAAAATTGCGTTTTCCTAACACTATTTACCCCCTTTCTAGCCGTTTATAGCCCCTCACCCGGTTTAGATGGCCGCCGGGTAACTATCACACGTGCTGCAGTAATACAGAGAGGGAAAAAATGAGAAGGGAGAAAGAGGAGAAACTGCGAGGCCTGAACTAAAAAAATGTGCGGGAAGTTTTATAGATGAACTCCCACAAACGGAGCCCCTACATTTTCTCCGATTTATATGTGGTGTCCCCTTCGAATACGAATAGAAGAATGGCTATACCAGGACGTCATCCCTATTCTCCACGCCGATAAAATTCAAAATATGCATCTCGCAGTTATATAGCGCCTCCTACAGGGAAACTCTAGGCACAAGCTACCACTAGAAAAATAGAGCAAGGCAGTAATATCATGTAGGCAATGTAATAAATATAGACCAGCACTTCGTGACATCAAGAATCGGGTTTTGTGGTGTGAAAGCGTGTCTATCAATTGCTAAGGTTAGTTTATCAATCGATAACAGTGATTTCGCAAAGTTTATTAGAGCTCCCTGCACTCCATTTGTCGCGAGGGCTTAGTAATTTCTATGACTTTTATATGGAACTAGCTGACATACCCGGCTCCGCTCGTCTTTGCCAGTACATTATAATAGAAACCACTACGCCCTATTTCCGTGAAACATCTCTCTGTTCCGACGTCACCTCTAACTTCTGCGCCAGCTTCGAGTCTGGTAGCTCAAAATGTGCAAAGAAAACGATGAAATGTCAGGTTGGTTCATAATTAATGCAGGTTTTCTCAACTTCCACTTCTGATAAAGATAATTCTTTTCAAAACAATCTTTCTGAGCACAACAAAAAATATTGTAGACAGCAGACTTTTAGCTATAGAACGTATACTTTTGCTTGATTGCACTCATGACGGGAAAGATTTTACGGCCCAAAATTTACCGAAAGTTTTTTCCGGAAAGTCCCAGTTTGAAGGAGCATAACTTACTCTTAAAAGAGCTAGATTGGAGCAAACTTTGCTCATTGAGTAGCCAATGGTCGGTTCAGTAGTAGCGTGGAACTTGGCTTTTACCAAAAATTTTCTGCGGAAAAATATTGCCAAGAAAGCAAAATTACCATTTTCTCCCGCATTTTAGAGAAGGCAAAACTCTGTATTTTTTGGATTCCTTCAATTTTTTCTTATTCCAAAAACGAAAAGTTTTGCCGTTTTCCTTCTATTAGTAGTCCTTGGTCTACTCTACCAAAACCAAGTGAAAGTTCTGTAATTGCTTTTTATGTAAGCATTTTATAAAGTTCCGAGTTCCCAGCGTTCAGCTAAGTTTGAGTCAAATCTTCTCGGCTCATTTCTGAAAAATTTAGCCCTTGTGCATTTTGCAAATCTTCGCGATTATAACACATATTTTTTGAAACAAATTTGAGCATTTTTCTTGGAATTACGGCAAGTCGAGTGAAAGGAAAGATTTTCGAGTTTGAGTTCGTCACATTTAAAGGCACGGAACTTCGGTCTGAACAAAGATCCACGAAAACGAAAGTGTATGTTTAAAAGTAGAAGAAACGAGCTTTCGATAATCTAGATGGTTTTAGAGAAAATGTTTTTTGATTGAAAACTAGCGTTTGAAAAAAGAAGTAGGAAAAACGTGCATTAATTATGAACCAACCCAATATATCGATCATCAACGAAAAGTAAACTACAATACCGCTCTCAGAACGTGCAAAATTTCCGTGAATGTCGCGGAAACCCCGGAATTCCGCGAAGGACCGCGAAATTTTCGGAATTTCGCGGTCCTTCGCGGAATTCCGGGGTTCACGGAAATTTTGCACGTTCTGAGAGCGGTATTGTAGAGGATCAGGAAATTTTAAGCTTATTTTGATTATTGGAACATTCGTATAACATTTTTAATTGAAACATGCGTAAGTGACTATTGTAGATTTTTATCCGTAACTTGAAAAGCACATAAAATGCACACATACATACAGTAAAAACGTAAGTATTCAATATGCAACATAAATTGAAGATGTCATAGATTGCTTTCATCGGAACTATCAATCACTATCGGTGGCAGTTTCTCGGATTCCTTAGATGGTGCATTCGACTTCTTTCCACCTGATTCTTTCTTAACGTTGCTCTTCTTGGGACGTTTTTTTGGTGATCCTTCGACGGCCAATGGCGATCCTGACCTTCGTCGACTTGAATCTGTAATAGATTGTTTCAGTGTGGTAGATAAAAACTGCAATGTTTATCAGACTGATTTCGGTTGACTTCAAAAAGCTAATGCGTTACCTACCAGTGCGATTAGATGGGTCGGGTTGCTCCTCCAATGCAATTGTAGTGGGATCTTCTTCTCTGTTAGATGGTAGAGACACATTGTCGTCAAAGTCCTTTAATTCAGGCTCATCAGCGAGCAGACCAGGTACAGCTCCTTTTCGACGCATTTCTAAGCTGAATTAAAGAGATTACACGCAGCGAGTATTTTCCTAACCGTAATACCACTTACTTTGCAAGCTTGAACTTCTGCCGCACTCGCCCAATTACATCCTGATTGTCGGCCTCCTGTCTTACAAGGGAACGATCCCAACTTAAGGTGGCGAATTGGAATGAACCGCATATCATTAGATGCGTCTTGATGAGCTGATTGCAAATCTACTTTCCATATCTGCGACAACGTTATCTGGAAGAAGCTATGAAAGGTTAAAAACGTGAAGTAACGGGGGGTTTTGATGCATAATTTGCTTTAAAATCCGACTTGGAAGTGCACGACTAGCATCATATTGAGTGTACTGATTTCACGGAACGCTCACACTCTAAAGAAACAGAAATAAGTGTTTTTGAACAACTAATTTTCGAGGTATAGCGCTGTATATTTGCCAAATTTGGACTTTTATTACCCATAGCTTTTACCAAAGAACGTTAGTTGCTTTTTAGTGTTCAAAAACATCTATTTGCGTTTCTTTTGAATGTGAGCATTCCGTGAAATCAGTACACTCAATATGATGCTAGTCGTGCACTTCCAAGTTGGATTTTAAAGCAAATTATGCATCAAAACCTCCGTTACTTCACATTTTAACCTTTCATAACTTCTTTCAGATAACGTTGTCGCAGATATGGAACGTAGATTTACAATCAGCTCATCAAGACGCATCTAATGATATGCGGTTCATTCCAATTCGCCACCTTAAGTTGGGATCGTTCCCTTGTTAGAGCCATTTCCCGCACCTTTAGATAACCGTAGGCGCAACTGGTCATGTACGAATCTTGATACGAAGTCAACTGTGTCCTTTTCGAATGTGCTGCAATTCAATTTGAACGGAGAATATTGCTAATAATGTTGAAAGAGATTGTAGTCAATCCTATTCTAATAAGCATTTCATCTCGATTAAAGAGGTATGACCCAATCTTTAAGATCAATCAGGCATTTACAGGGTGTTTGATAAATTTGTGTCCTCAAGTACTTCTACTGCGAATTCTAACTCATTTTTTGCTATATGTGTTCGCTAAACCTAGAAACCACTGCGTCAACAAGAAAAAATAAATTTGCCTTACCCGCAAGTAGCGTCATATGCTCATCAGCTACTTCGAAATTTTCGGATTTTTTACGAAAGTAATCGCTGTACTGCTCAGAAGCAATAGCGTGTCTCGTCTAAATTACGATAGAAATGCGATTAGAGTCCAGAAATTTATAAAATAACCTGCTCACCACGTTACATGAAAGGTTCAACTCTGCGTAGCCGCTGTCGCGTAAAAATTGTTTCATTATACGCTGAACATTGTAGTACTGTACAGGTTCTCCTTTGTACTGGATAAAAAATGGCGAATCTGGATTCTTCATCTCTGGCACATTGTTTTGCTGTATCACACTAAATAAATAATCATTAGAGATTGACATGCAAAAAATGAGTTTCGTGGATCATCTCACAAATCTCTCAATTTTAGGTAGTAGTCGATCCATTTCTTCGACTTCCTGTCCAACACAAAATAATTTCCTCCGTGTACCGTTTTCTGACAGGCTCGCGTTTTCGGGTAAGGATAGGAGCCTATTTGAAAGTCCACCTTTATAGAATGAGTTAAGCTTCAAAAAGCTTACCCAAAGCTGTTCCTTTTCACCGCCTTTCCATCTCACCACTATGCTTTGTAATCCCGTTATGTCGGTCTGCGCAAATTCCGATGTAGGCCTTTTCTTCACTTCATGCGCTATCACGCTTCCATACATCATTTTATAAATCACCTCATTCCTGCTGGTGTTGCAGTGCATTACGTAAGACCAAAATGCTTTAAATGGCAAACGCTTTTTTAGACAAGAAAAAAATGTCACAAGTCTTACCAACCCCATCACATAATTGTACTCCGAAGGACTCAGCATTCCTTCAAGCTCACTTGTCCATAAGATTTTCCACCGCCGCATCTACTCCTTCATGATCGACAATTGCTCTTGTTACGCAATACATTATTGTCTCCTGCAACAGTAAATAATTATGCAATCATCTTTACGGTCACACAAATCATATAAAATTACCTGTTGTTTCTCTTGCGGTACGATACCCTTTAGCGTTGCTTGCTTCCCTTCTACTTTTAATAATCTAGACTGATGACTAAGATATCTGCGAAAATCTTCAAGATCTCGCCGGCGTGAACGTGCTGCTCCTGAACATTTGCTAATAATCTGTCTACCATTCCCAATTCATATAGTAAAAACTTACTTTTTTCTAGTCCTAGTGACAGGAATTTTTCAAAAGAAGACAGCGCTCTTAAAATCGTTATTCTTACAAAGAATTTGACACCTTCTTCCTTCAAACGCGCCATATATGGCAAAATAATTCCATTCGCATATATGGCGTCATCAACCGTGATTGTTCGTCCCATCCTAAAATTTTGTAGTATTCTGTACGGTTTACATCCAGCTGAAATAGCAAAAAAAAACGCCAGCTTAATAGTGGAAATTCATTTATTACATTTTTGCTTTTCGAAGCTTTATCGCAAAAAAAGCTTTGAAGATATTGTCTTGATTGCATGCATGCTTTTGTCACATGCTGACATTTCGCTACACTTACCTCTGCCGCGATCTCATAGCGACTAGCATGAATCGCTCCATATACGATACGTAGTTGTAGATGCCTTCTCTAGAAGGTTTCGCTTCCATGGGCGCTTCGGAATGTCCGGCTAAACAGAACATCACAATACTATCTCATACTTGTTAGAAAATCGAATGCTACCAATAATTGCAGGATGTGCTGTTCGTACTGTAGCAGAAGTGGATGTGAAGCTCTTACAACTTTGCGCCAAAACTTGAGATTCTCATCCAAGTTCACTGCTAAAATTGCACGTAATTGACACTTTTAAGCAACGCTAGTGCACGGAAAAAAGCTTACCTTGTTCGTTCTTTTGCGAAAAATTATACTCATGAGTGTAGTATTTCGAATCGAATGCATCATATTTATGACAGAACATGTACTTAAGTTTTGGCTTCTTTTTGAATATTTCAGCCACATGTGAATCTCCTGAAATGATCAGTGATTTGTGATATGAGAAAAATCGTAAAACACGTAAATGTAGAGCATTAACCTGTGTACAGTTCGTCGCCGAAAGACTCGTACAGTAAATGATTCTAAACAAGCGGTGCTCTGAAGGTTGGTGGTAAATCAGGAGGCTCAGCCACTTTTCCAGCGATTCTTCTTCGGAGCTGACGCTCTTGCGCACTTGACTTGTATCCGGCATCAACGTCACATCTGTTCTCGGCAGTGATGAAGCCAGCGTGACGGATTTCTCGCCTCGTTCAACCTTCATCTTGATTAGAGCAAACGGTGGTGTATCAATGGACTCAATTGGATGTATATTATCCTCGAACTGCCATTGCTGCACATGAACCTGTGCGATGTCCTATCTTATCATGTTCACTAGCGCTAAGATTTGTTTATACCGAGCCTTCACTTTCGTGAAAATGCTGTTGTTGCTGTGCTGAAGAACTCATTTCTGCTTCTACTTCCGCCTGCGCTCCTTCTACATCTACAGTGTGCGCACATCGCATTGCATGTATCTATAAGACACATTTCTAGGAAATTGTTACAATGCAAATACTGGGGATTATTTGCACTCACAGCCTCATCAACCATCATTTCCACTTCATCTCTCCGCACATATTTGTAACGGTCAATGCGGGTGTCTTCATGACCCTGAAACATTATTTATTTTGCGATTAGCTCCAAATAGAATATAAAATATGATACTAGTGTAGCAGGTAAACCTACGCCATCTGTCGGTATTCCGCATTTTCTAAGCTGATGTATAAAATCGTGGTATATATTCCATTCACCCGCAGTTATTGGCCTCCTTACATCGGAGAGGTGGATTTTTGCCCTACCAATAAACTGTACCATTCCGCGGCCTAGCTGCATAACGATCTAAATTCTCGTTACAGTTACTAGCTCGAGGAACAGCTACTAGTATTGAGCACCTTATAATCCATAGAATTTTTTGTGACAAGTTCCCGATGCTCTCTGTCAAGATGTGTAGAAAGTCTATATTCTCCCTGCTTTCTGCAGATGACGCAGAAATTCGTGCCTTCATTTGAATGTTTTGGATAGAAAATGTCTGCAAAGTTTCTCACTGTAACTAGCATCCCAATTGAGCTATAAGGTACTACCTTCAGGCAAATTATCGGGTAAATTCCATATAATCTCTTCTCTTCTTAATCTATTCAAACTCGCTTTGGCCGCATTTCCGATCTCTACAACTTTGTTATACTTGCTGGATAAACGGACACGAGACGCCATTGGTTGTGAATTTATCTTGTAGCTGAAATATGAATTTGTCAACATTGTCAAGATACTGTCAATTATTGAGCAAAAAGCAAGGTAGTTATCGAGCCTCTTTATGCGATTGGAACAAAAACACAGAAAAACGGCACTTTTCCATTATCCGAACCCATTTTTTCAAAAAGCTCTCATAAAATACGTTCTAGAGCCTAAGATTAATTTTCTAGATTCTACGAGGACTGCTTCCCCGCCACGTGTCGGAAAGAAATTGATACGTTCTAGTCCATTTCAACTGTTCAACATGTTTTTTCGAAATTATTTTCGGTGAGGTAAAAAACGACTTATGTTAACCCAAAAGCTGTCTCACTGTTTTCTATAAAAGCAAAACAATTTAGAACCATTATTGGAATATCTTGATTGCTTCTAACAATGATTCAAGAATGTATTTTCAAACTTTTCGCCATGCAAGTCTAGACGGGAAAAGGCGCACTTCTCTATTCCCTGCATGTTTAATCTGTTCATTGATAGGATTCATTGATAAGGGTGACGTTACTATTATAATACTGTTCATTTTTGTAATTGTTAAATTGAAACTGGGTCAACATTGATTGAAAACAGGTTGAACTTACGTTGCCAAGTAGGACAACACATACTCTTGGTAAAACATACTCTTGTTGAACATGTATATGGCATGTGAATTATTTTGACACATGGCAAAAGGTTGACACTCCTTCCTGTGCATTTGGGACCAGGTATGACGCAAGTAAGGAAGCATCCCTTTTAACAAAAAAATGGGTAACGGAGAAAGTACCGGAAAAAACTTCTACTCAAAACTAAGCACATTAAGGCCTCGGACATGTTCACGCGATTTGATCGTCGCGATTCAACTGCCAAAGACAAGTGCTACGAGTTCATTGCATGACGATCTTCTTGTAATTCGGTTATGATAGTTAGTCACGATTAGTCGTGTTGGAAAACCCTACCACAACCGGAATGCAGGAAAATTGGCATACAATGAACTCGTAACACCTGTTTTGTAGCGTTGAATCGCGATGATCAAATCGTTCAACTCTGTCCGAGGCCTAAAGCGACATTTTGACAAATATGAGCCCCTTGCAAAAATAGCTTTCCAGTGCAAAATTTCGTTCAATCATCCCATGATGGTGATCAGTACTCTAGTAAAAAGACTTCGCAATTTTCAAGCACTTCCTATCGATCAGTAGGTTTGCAGAATTCGATAGCACTGAAAACACTTCTGTTCCTGATCCCAGGAACCCCTTCCCCGCGCCATGTGTTGTATCGCATCATACTCGCCATATGTTATCGCATAATACCCTTTGTAGCCTGACTCGGGCCAACCCCGAGGACGGCATTCTCGTCTTGTGTTGGTCCGGCACCCAGCCGGCCTTTATGTTGAGGAATAACGATAAAGATTCAAAAATTCCACTGAACTATCTTGTAGCCACCACAAATTGGTGCATCGACTAAAAGAAATAGCGATACAAGTCCAGGCCACCCTAACCTGGCAAAAAAGTCCAGCAAGCCCCCGCTGGCACACAAGTCCAGGGCAACCCATCCTGGCAAAAAATAGTCCAGCAAACCCCCGCTGGCCCCCAGGTCCAGGACACTCTTCTGGAACACCAAAAAAATAAGCATATCACCAGCGCAAAAAAAAAAGAAAAATGGCGCTATTTTTCTTCAAAAGACCAATTGCACAAAGTGCAAAAACTTTGCAAATGCTACTGCAAAAATTCGCACCATACAAAGAGGAACTAACCCTTCAAGAATCAGACGATGAAAACTACGAGACGTGCCTAGGATCGATAAACCTGATAACCGGCAGCATACAATCTATCCAACAAAGTAGAGATGCCCTTCAAGTCCTCCTCGACAAACTTCAAAACAAGTGGGAGGACAGCAAGACAAGACTAAGTAAGAAAGAAATGGAAAAAGAACTTGAAGAACTAGAAAAAGAAACGAAATGTATGGAAAAAAACATAGCAAAAGCAAATGAAATGATTCTGATATTAGGAACCAAACTTACCGAAGCACGAAATCACGCAGAACGGCTGTCGCGTAAACTAGGCACAACGTTACCTAAAACATTTCACCCAAATATCACAGAAACAAGCTCCGGGAGCAACATTGTCGAAAATAGCGACGAAGTGATCAATCCAAATGATGCAGCCTGGCTATCAGAAGATAGCTCCGACAGCACCAGAGTTCCAGAAAGCAGCAGAGCTGTGGTGGAAGAAGATGTGATATGTAGAATGTTGAAACCGAGTGCAATGCAACTACCAAGATTTTGGGGAGACGAAGAAGAGTTCCCAGAATTCTGGGCGGTGTATGAGACCCTTGTTCACCAAAGTAAGGTACTAAGCACGGTAGAAAAGATATTTCTCTTAAGAGACAGCCTCAAAGGAAGAGCAGAGATGGCCGTTAAGGGAATCCAACTGATTCCACAGAACTACACATGGATGGTAGAAACGCTCAAGAAAAAATACGGCAATAAACCGGTGAACAGAGCAAAAATCGTCCAGAAACTTATCAATCTCCCACCTGCAAAAAACACAGCGGACGGTTGCTCACATACATTCGATAAAATTCGCATGCTGATCAACCAAATGATATCAGCAGGACAAGAAATTCCAAACTGACAGATGCAATGTGGACAGAAAAAATTCTGGAGAAATTCCCATACAGCTCAGTAAAAAATGTGCTCCTAGCTCTGCAAGGAAAGGAAGAAGTAAAGGTCGAAGAGGTCCTTGATCAAATCGAAAACGAGATCAACGCCAAAAAATATGTGGAATCCCGGCTACAGTTCCACTCCAAAAGCGAACATCAAGAAAATAAAAGACATCAAGCCACAAACAGAGGGAACTACCCAAAAGACGAGAAAATGCATTTTTTGCGCTAGTGCGGACCATTTTTCCGCAGACTGCCGTGCAATCACGGATGTTGAAAGAAAGAGAAAAGTAATCACGGATTCAAAACGCTGCTGGAAGTGCTTTTCTAACCAACACAGAAGCAATCAGTGCAACAAGCCTGATTGCCCCATATGTGGGCGAATGCACCATTCCACCTTGTGCTTTCCAAACTCAAGAAGATCAGGAAATACGGTAAATCAATCAACTTCACGACCGAATCGCTTCGGTAATCCACAAAACAGCAGCAAAAGACCCCCTGCTGCGGAACCGAGAACAGGCCAAGGATTATGGCGCAATCGCACAGATCAAGAGGTTCCCAGGAATGAAATGAACAATTTCCACAAGGAGGAAGTACCCAACACTTCACCACAGCAGAGCACCGCTACAAAGTACAAAAAAGATCAAATAGTGCTTACGACCGCGGAAGCAAACTTGTGGAGTAACCGAACTCAAAAATTTGAACGAGTTTTGGTAATTTTCGATACTGGGGCACAACGAACATTGATCAACGAGACAATTGCACATGAATTTGACCTACATAAACAAAGCAGCGATATCTGTACAATGTCGGGCATTGGAGGTCATATTGAGAAATTCAAAACCTTCCACGTTCCAATCAAAATTTCCACCGTATTTGGCAAGGAAATAGAACTGATCATTAGAACTAAGCCCGTAATAACAAAAGGTTACCCTTCCGCGCGTCTCATGGAACAGGATAAGCAATTTTTGCAGGAACATGAGATTTGCTTGTGTAATCCGAGAATAAGGGGCGAACACCAAGACCCCCAAATCTTGATAGGGCTCGATTACTACTACGACTTCGTTCTCAGTAGCAACAACACAAGATTGCCATCTGGACTTTATGTAGCACTGTTCTGGGCCCCATACTCCACGGACGTGGAGCAATCGCGCCAGAACTCCCCGGAGAAGACGTTTCTCATGCTCTCACGCTGATCGAAGATAGTAACGAGCTAGAAATGCTTCAAAAAATATTCGAACTCGACGGATTAGGAATTTCTACGGACGAATTTTCTACCAGCGAAAAAACGTTCCAATATTATCAGAACTACTCCAAAAAGATTTCATTCGAAGGAGGTGTGGTAACCGCCCCATTTCCATTGAAAGATAATGTAATTGACCTGGCTGATAATTACGCAAATGCCTATCGTCGACTAGAATTTTTGCAAAGGCAACTAGCAAAAAGTCCATCACAAAGTTCCTGCTACACAAACATGCTAGACAAGTACCTTGCAAATGGCATAATTGAAAAAGCAACCTATCAGATCGAA